TGTCCGTCCTCCCTGGACTGACCTATCCCCTTCCTAACTCCCTACCTGCACTCACCTTTACTGGCTCCATCCCCGCCTCTTCGACCTGTTTGTTTCCTCTCCACCTATCCTCTCCTCTATCCCTCTTCTATCCGCTTTCCACTCTCTCCCTATTTATTTCAAAACCCCCTTCCCCTTTTCTGATGAAGGGTCTAGGCCCGAAACGTCAGCCTCTCTGCTCCTATGATGCTGCTTGGCCTGCTGTGTTCATCCAGCCCTGCACCTTGTTGTCTCGGATTCTCCAGCATCTGCAGTTCCTACTATCTCTTATGAAATGTATGTATGTTTTAGTCATTCTCATTGATTGCACAGTATCCATTAGAGAAGTAACTTCTGGGTTTATTTTGGTCCCTTGTTGGAGAAGAAAGTGAAACATGTGATAGCAACAAACTGGAGATGAATTCTGGGAAGTACACGAGCACACCGAACACTGTGAAGCACCAGGCATCTGCATCCCTCTCAGAGATGGGGACACAGGGAGCTAACAATTTGTAGATAACTGGTGATAATTATTAACATCCTTGACAAATAAATGATTATCAACTCATCAATAAATGTATTGTGAAAAGATTGAATATTGTGAAGGTCATGATTGTGACAATTCACAACAAAATCCTATCCATTTCTTGAGAGTGATTCCTCAGAGGGCCTCATTTGTTTGAAGCATGCACAACCAGGTGCAAGTAGCCACACTTTGGTTATGTGGAGTTTCACGTGATGGATTTACATCTCAACTATGGAATGCATAGAATGATGACAAGGACAGATGTGAGCTTGTGCTGGACAGGGCAACAATGCAATCTAATGAATCTGGGGACTATTATAAAGGTGGTTTCAATATGCATACACTCTACAGTAGTGGAGATGATGGATGTATCAAACTCAATGGTTCGTTCATCAGTAGCACCAAAGCAAAAGGAAAATAACATTTGGCCTGCATCAGAAGAGAGTGCTGACTGGTTGGCAAGTGAATTCTGATTGGCAAAGGCATTGCCATGGAGAATTCACCCAATTTACGATAACTGACAGCTAACAGCCAAGCTTTGTTTATGTTTTAAACCAGACAAGTTGACTCTGATTGATCAAGGCATTGCTCTGAAAAATGATCCAGACAATGGCCATCATCAATGTTGTCATTTGTTTTCAACAAAATAGGTTCTAGTATGCATTCAAATACACTCTATGAAATTAATTTCCAGGCGGCCTTTGCTAGTTTAATTGTCTTGTTAAAGGTTAAAATCACCCATGATTAATGCTGTACTTTTTAAGCCCTCATTATTTATGACAATCTTTCATTATTATATTCTGTCCCACAGCTTCTATAAGGGGGCCTATTAAGTAGTCCACAAGAATCCTCTTTTCTTGACTACTTCTTATCTTCACCAAAACTGACTCTACATCCTGTTTCTCTGACTGAAGAAAATGGGGCAATGGAAGCTCGGGGAAGGTGAAAAGCATATAGTGATAGCAGCGGGGAGGACTTGGTGTGACTAGTATACAAGTGGCAAAGACCTAACACCTCGCTGTGAACCTGTAAAGTAGAGCTCAGGAAGAAAGCCCACTTGAGTATGAACTTGTAGAGGAGTTTATAAGTCTTATGTCTGGAATATATGCTGTTGGACATGCCTGCCAGAATAATGTATAGTGAAATTACAGAATGGATATTGAAACTTTTAGCCTAAGAATAGTATGGGATGTTCTCAGACAACACAGTGTAGAGCTGGAGGAACACAGCCGGCCAGGCAGCAGAGGAGCAGGAAAGCTGATGTTTCGGGTCTGAAAATCATTTTCTGAAGAAGGGTCCCAACCCGAAACGTCAGCTTCCTGTTCCCCTGATGCTGCCTGGCCTGCTGTGTTCCTCCAGCTCCACGCTGTGTTATCTCTGACTCCAGCATTGGCAGTTCTTGCTATTTATGGGATGTTCTCATGTAATTTTCCAGTCTGAACTTTGACAAGGCCCTGTCACATCTGTCACAACATCTGTCAGCCTGGTCATATTTTACATTAGAAAATTGCAAATCCAAAGAAAATATTAGAAAAATCAAATGAGGGGAAACATTTTGAAAACTTATCATAAATTTCTTTTTTTAAAACTGTGAAACTAACAAATGATAATTACTTTAGTTAGCTGCCACTCTCTTGATGATTGCTCAGCTTCATCATCAGAGATACTTAATGGTTTTGTAATTCCTTCAGAAAAGTAACAAGCCCAAATAGGATCCATTTTTTCCAATACATTGAAAAAAAAATGAAATTATTTACCAATATTTTAAAAATCTTAACTCAAAATAGAATTGTTTCTCACAATATTTGCTTGTTTAACAAATGACTTTAAGATGATTGTGTTGACGAATCATTATCACATTATCTCATCAAATAATTATTAAGATATAACTTCATTCTACATCAAACATTCAGAAAGAATTCTAGAACGATCTGCTGCAATAATTTAACCTCGTGTCCTCAGAATTTATTCAGCATTGCCCATTGGTCTGAAAACAGAATAATTTAGTTGAGTTTAAACCCATTACTTCGATTACCTGCAAAAGCAGAATTGCTTTTTTTGTGCGTTTTCTTGACAGTAATAAGATGTTTCATTTCTTTTGCAAATGCGACAGGGTCATCCCATGGTATGTATGATGATTCAAGACTTTTGGCCAACATGTCTTTTTTCTTTTCCAGTTCTCCATTCTCTTTTACTGTCGTAAGATTTATGCTCTCAAATACAAACTGCTTGAAGGCTTTCTCCACCTCAGAACTTGTCATATTTGCTAAGTGAAATAATAAATATTACAATTCATCAATTAATCATCCATATAAAAGGTCAATTGTAATAGATATCTCAGTCATAATAAGATGGCATAGTATTCTTCAAAATTAAGAACCAATATTGTAAGTGCAATAAAAAAGGATGCCCTTGATTTTCATTTTGAGTTTATCAAATTGAAATGTTTCGGTGATTCATACAACAAATCACTTTATGAAATTATGACTTTTGTCATATATACAGATTTCCATTCTAATGTATCAAGGTACTATAAACAATGACAGGATGAACTAATGTGATTTTTTAAAAAAGGTATGTTGATGGAGAAATGTCTGCTTGGATATCATAGGAATTTCCTAGTATTTGAACTATGCTATTGCATCAATGATGTCCACCTGAACTATCAAGAACAGTTATGTGGGACCTCTACTGCAGTACCCTTAACAATGTAATATACCATTCGTACAGGAATGAAGTATCAGGTTAGATGATTGGACTTAAACCTATTGATATGGATTCTTGCCTAACGAGAGTGGAAACTGAGATATCACGTGCACACTGTTCATACAACTTTATGGTTATAAAATTGACACATGCTCAAAAATCTTCACACAGAAATACAGCCTGCAACCTAACTCTCCTGTGTCCTTAGCCCCCTATCCCACACACCTGGTCTTGTTAGCACATAGTGACTAACAATAGGTAGTGTGTAATGCATACTAACAGTCTCCACAACAGCTAATCACCCTTCTAGCCAGATCATTATCAACTCCTTTGTCTATCCAACTGCTCTTATCTCTCTTTGATCTCCATCCCCAACTATTGTTTACTCCCTGTCCCCTCCCTCTCCCCTCTTCTACAATATAAACCGACATTTTCTGAGCTACTACCAGTTCTGAGGAAGGGTCACCAGACCCAAAATGTTAACTCTGATTTTTTTTCACAGATGCTGCCAGACCAGCTGAGCTTTTCCGTCAACTTCTGTTTCAGCCTGCAACCATGTGACCAGAATGCAAACATGCTAGCAACTGAGCTAGGAAGGGGAAGCTTGAAACACTGAATGGCTTACTCTTGCTCTTAGTCCTAGATTCCTAAATATGTTATTAAAAACTATTTATTAAGTTCAGCAAGCCATTTTTTAAGTTCAATAAGTTCCATAGGTTTCCTATTCAGTTTACAGCAGTCTGAATGAAGGTCTTTCACTTTGTTACAATAGAAGCCCTTAGGCCTTCAGGCTTCACTTCAACCCTCAGCCCTTTCCTTTCAAGTCAGAGAATTTATGAAGTATCCTGAGCTGCCCTTTCCTTAGCTTGGCTGTTTGTTTTCCTTTCACTCTCTCCGCTTCCATCCTTCTTAAGTTTATCGGGGTGATGGGAAAAAGATTTAATTTTATTTTCAGCTCATAATAATTAGCTATTTCTGGTGCCAGTCTAACTGTTGTTCTGGTCTTTTACATGAGTTCTAATTACTAGATGAAATGAATTTTTAAATTTATCTAAGGGAATTTCTCAGAGAGCTTTATACATGGCATTTACTCCTAACGTCTGAATCCAGTGGTCAAAACTACTTTGATCAACCTTTTCAAATTCAATATAGATCTGCCAGGCTGTTTCCTTAAATTTCAAACTTTTGCCTGCATGCCTCAGGAACTAATTTATACACCACTCTGATAGTGGCCCCCAATCCATAGAAACTTCTTCTAAAAATGATGCATAAATCCCATATGCTCTTTCTGTCAACCTGCTTTGCATGATCAATGTCCAGTTTCCCTTCAGCTAGTTAATTTGTTTTGCTACTTTCTTGAACAAAGTAAAGATCGCCTCCACTCCCTTTTCCCCAAATTAAGAAGGACATGTACAAATTTAAACATCTCCTTACTAGGCTTTGGATTAGATGTACATTTTCCTTATCAGAACTTTCTTATGCATCTGAGATTGCATTGTTTTAACTACAACTTTATAAATCAGTAATCTCTTTCTCCCTCTTGGCACTCTCCTGGGGTGGCATGGTGGCTCAGTGGTTAGCACACTGCTGCTTTATAGGGACCTGGCTTAGATTCCACCTTCGAGCAACTGTCTGTGTGGAGTTTGCATGTTCTCCCCGTGTCTGTGTGGATTCCCTCTGGGTGCTCTGGTTTCTTCCCTCAGTCAAAAGATAAGTAGGTTAGATTGTTAAATTGCCCATTGTGTTCAGGGATGTGCAGACTGGGTGGATTAGCCATTTCCTCCATGGGAAATGCAGGGTTACAAAGATGGGGGGTGGGGGATTGCTCTTTGGAGAGCAGGTGTGGGTTCAATGGGCCAAATGGTCTGCTTCCGCACTGAAGAGATTCTTTGAAATCCAGTCCTAGCCACTTCAATGCACCACCTTGCTCCCTGGCCAACATCTCTGTCTCCTGCTTGCTACAGGGTTCCAGTGAAGCCCAGCGCAAGCTGGAGGAACAACACCTCATTTTCCGCTTGGGGACCCTACAGCCCTCCGGACTCAATATTGAGTGCAATAATTTTAGGGCCTAAACTCTCCCATGTCCCAGCCCCCCACCCCACACACCAGGCCTTGTTACCACATAGCCTGCCACTACACATCCCCTGTTGTTAGTCACTAACAGTCCCCATTAACAACTATTCCCCCTCCCAGCCTGATTGTTAGCAACTCCTTTGTCTGTCCAACTGTCTTTCTCTCTCTTTAGGCTCTATCCTATCGTTTACTCCCTACCCCACCCACCTCCCTATTTTCTGCATATAAACTGACGTTTTCCCAGCCACCATCAGTTCTGAGAACGGGTCACCGGACCCGAAACGTTAACTTTGTTTTCTCCTCCACAGATGCTGCCAGACCTGCTGAGCTTTCCCAGCAACTTTGTTTTTGTTCCTCTTAAATTCTTTTTTAGTTTTAATTTTAATCCCTTTTCACTTCTTCTTCATACATAAAATGTAATGCAATTGTAACTTTCTTCGACAGTGCCTGATCCCTTGCTTATTTCCACCAATCCCAAATCTGTGCCAAAATGTCAATTATCTCTGCTTTATTAGGTTTCATTGGCACCTTTTAAATTTGTTTCTACTGGTTTAAAATTAGTTAAATCTTGTAAACCATTCAAGGATAGCTCCTCCACCTTTAAGAAAGTTTTAGCTGCTTTAAACACCATTTTGGTTCTATAATGTGAGAAGCCTGAAATCTATCCACTTATCCAATGCCATACTATTATTCCACATCCAATTTCATGTTGTATGCGTCTGCGATCCTGTACAAACCCCCAAATTATGACTGTGATGGGAGAAATAGATTGAGTATCAAACTGCACTACTCCACTAGTCATATCATTAGCGTAAATATGTTGATTCAATTCCATAACGTCTAATTGCTTTTCTTTAGTACATTGTCAAAAACACACAAAACTTCCACCAGACTTCTTTAATGGGCTCAAAATTTTTTTTATAATGAACAAAATTCATTCTTAATATAAACTCTGTTTGAAATCTAAGTTATGATCCAGAATGAAAGATTAATCTTTTAAAGGAGCAAATTATTGCAAATGCTGAAATCTGTACTGAAAACAAAAAATGCTGAAGATCTCAGTGGATCAGGCAGCATTCATGGAGAGAAAGCAAGCTAACGTTTTGAGTCTATATGACTCTTCAGCTTCAATGAAGTCATCTAGACTCAAAATGTTAGCTTGCTTTCTATCCATGGATGCTGCCTGACCCACTGAAATCTCCAGCATTTTTTTGTTGTCAGGTTAATCGTTTAATCCTTTTTATCACCTTAATTCCACTTGCAGACACTCTCATACTGCACAAAACAGAAACAAGTTTCAGCAGAGATTTTTTTAAATGAATTGCAAAAGGTCTGAAAACAAAGATCTGGAAAAAATGTGATGGCTTCTTACATCCATTGAGCTTCCTGTCAAAGAGGCTGAAATGCTGGCTGTTGTAGGTTGGTGATAAATGTTGAGCTCCGATTCCAACCAACTGGATTTGAGTTGTTGAGAGTGATCACAATATGCTACTACAGGTTTTACCAAGTAGGCATAAATAACAGTATTTGGAAACACTACCAGGTTCCCAGGAAATTCTACTAAGAAAAAGGATTTCCAGAGAGAAATTGCAGCCCTGAGGTGGCTTCTTTTACTTTCTGACTGCTAAGTCTATCAAATAAAACTAGAAAGGGGTCGCTAGGCAAACATTAGCATAGGAGCCCCTGGAGCCCTCAAAATTAGGTTATCCTAATAATTAATGAACCCACTCTCTTATCTCCTTGAAAACTTTGCCTAGCAGCTTTTCCAAGGTCATTTGATCTCATGTTAAAAATATCAAGTGGCTTATGCCATACATTAAACTCTTGATTTTATTTCCAATAACGTCTCTTAATCCAGAAAATATCCAATGGAACAAAATTTTCCAGTATTTCCTAGATACTATAATGTGTATTCTGAACTTCACTAGTAACACAGGCATTGTACATCTGGAATTGATGGGTGGGAAGGTTTGGTTACTGACAAACCAGCGGAGGAAGAGGAAACACTTTAGTCCTCCCCACATTCTTCATCATAATCCCAACCAATCTTGGGTAGAACTCTGTACAATTTCTTGCCCACATAATTAACCTTAAGCAAATAATCTTCAAAGAGGGTAATCCACCTCAGCAAAGAATTTAATTGTTAAGAATTGAGGTTCTCAAATTATGTTGTGGGAATGTAGAATATGGAAGCAGAACACATACATGTGAGAGTCTTCTCTGTTATTATATTGGAACTGGAATCGATTTAAGATGATCAATGCTTTCTCCAAAGCAGTAGAGCAGAACTTCATGGATAAATGTTAAGCCATCAGATTTCTTACATTTGACAGTGTAATTTCAGGCTACGTTGTAGAAAAGTTGGATTACAATTTTCATTATTTATTACACTATATCCTTCTATATACATGTGTACACATGCACACATGTTCTGAACAAAATGTAAGAATACAATAAGCATCCATAATAATATTGTAATGACAGAATTAGACTGCAATATCTCACCATTGGTGCAATGGTACATAAGCTCTTGGATACTGGCCAAACGTTTAGTATCAACCTCAGGTGAAGGATGAGTAAAATTAAGAAACTTCTCTAAAGACAGTTTTTTCATCATTTCCTGTTCAACCTTGGCAGGGTCAAAGCCTTGTAGTATCTGAAATAAGAGGAAAAAGTTTCATTCCATTTTTACTAAAATAGTTTTATTGCAAAAATTGAGAGTATAACGAAGGTGAAACAGATCTGAACTCATAAGACTTACTAACTCATTAATTTTGATTCCTTTTAAAAATAAGAGATACAGTTCTGTTTAGATACAGAGAACGGATTAAACTAAATTTCTAGCACAAAGGGAACATAGGGAATAAAAGGAGGAACAGGCCATTGGCTCAGAATCTCTTCCATTGTTCAAAAATTCATGCCTGACCATCTACCTCTATATCATTTTTTTCCGGTATACATCTCTTAATGTCATTAGTTTCTAGTAAACTATTGAGTTGGTCTTGAATGTGCTCAATGATTGAGCTGGGCTGAACTCAGCTGGGCTACAGAATTCCAAAGATTCATTTCTATCTGAGCAAAATGGATCCTCCTCATCTCAGTGTTAAATGGCCTACATCTTATTCTGACACTGATTATAGACTTACCAGGCAGGGCAAACATCCTATCCACATCTATCCTGTCATGCCCTGTAAGAATAGAAATCTTTGAACTTTCAATGAGATCACTCTCACTCACTTTAAAAATCTAGAAGATACAGGCCCAGAATGTTCAACCTCTCCTTGTATGGCAATCCTGTCATTCCAGGGATTAGTCTAGTGACTCTTGGTTGAACTCACTTTGTGGGAAGTACATCCTTCCTTAGATAACTGCACACAATAATCTAGCTCTCACTCTTTGAGAAGTACATTGTCCTTCTGTGTTCCTTGTTGCTAAGTGAATAACCTCACATTTATTTATATGATATTCCACTTGCCAAAATCTTGTTCATTCACTTGGCCTGCCTAAATCCTCTTGAAGCCCCTTGCATCCTCTTCACAGCTCACATTCCCATCTAGTTTTGGGTCATCAGCAAATTTGGAAATACCATATTTGATCCCTATTGTGTTCTTGCACTGTTTTCCTAACAAATAGGACTCTCGTGCGGGACTGGTAAATGTTGTAGGTTCAATTTACTTGAAAATCTAAGATAAATTTATACGTCAGACAGAATTATGACCGAAGCCCAGTACAAAGAAATACGGCTGTACATCCTTATATGTGCATACTTGGATGTTGCAACTTGGAATCCTCATAGCTGCTGGTCACAAGGTCTCATCCTTGTCCTCAGGTTATTAGCACAGCCCTTAAAGTGATACTTCAACAGTCCAGCATCCAAATTAGTTGTATAGTTTGTGACAGCTGTGATCCAAGCACTGATCCTTTCAGCACCCAACAACTAAGAGCCTGCCAAGGGAGAATGACCAATTTATTGCTCTGTTTTCAGTCTATTAACAAATTCTGATTCCCAATCCCATGTGATCTAATTTTGTCTATTAACCACATGTTCTTGGACCTTATTGAAAACCTGTAAATCCAAAAACATCAGATCATTAATGCTCCTTCATTTATGCTACAAGTAGCATCACCAAAGAATGCAAACAGGTTTGTAAAACATGATTTCCCTTTCCAAAATCTGGCCAATCATATACCATTACTTTCTCGGAGGCTTTTGTGGCTAGTGGTAGTGTCTCTACCATACATCCTGAAGGATCCCTTCAAATCCCATCTGCCCAGGAGATTGTCACAATATGTTTGAATTGGTTGAGTAAAAATAATTTCTGTGTATTCCATACCCAAACTACTCGCTGAGTGAATCTTCTTACACCACCTTTGCTTCTTTTGCACATCGCTTTAAATCTATGCTGGCTCATTCATACTCTTTTTACAAGTGGGAACAGTTTACCCCATCTACTCTATCTAACCATGTAAACAATTCACCAAAGATAAACATAGATAATCAAGGGTGCTTGGTCATTGTGCTAGGCAGATTGTTAGGATGCTATGATCCACTTCATTAAATGATTGTCACTTACAATGATGATGTCTTAGTTGAGATGACAAGTTTTATTATAAACATACCCTTGAATGCCAAAGCATTAAACACAGTCAATCCTCATACTCGTGCACACACACAAAAATAAGTTACCTTCAAGTGATGTGTCCGCCATGTCAAAGTATCATGGAGATTAAGAAGCAAGGGCTGTTTAAGCTCTTCATGTGACCTCTTTTGTTCAGACTTTTTTAACTCTTCAGTCATTATCTGTGTAAGAATATTAAATGTAAGGCATATTATGCTCAAATCAGAATTAATAAATTAAGAACTATCCCATTGTCAAGAAACCCCAAATATTGTTGAAATGAATGGAGTGTGTTAGTAAACAAAAACCTCTAGCCACGGTTTTACTGGATATAGGTATACATCTATATTTTAAAAAGAAGAAAACCTGCACATAACCCTCCATTAGAAATTTGATTAGACACAGAACAAAAACGGACAAACAACTGAAACAGCAAGCAAAAGCCAAACTAAAGTTTCAGGTACAACTTCTCGCAAAATTCATAGCTGAAAGCTCTAGGCAAGGGCAGTAAGGGTGCTGGTGCTAGATGATGGTTGACAGATTATGACACTCCAGCAGTAATAAACAAACTTGATGGGAAAGGTGGTATTTTCCAGTCTGTAAATGTATATTATTCATACAGTGTTACTTCTGAACTGACTTTAAATGTCTACACCTGTAAATTGTGTGTGCAAATTCTGGTATATGTAATTCATTAAGTTCACATGGGTATCAATTTAGTCAAAAGAAAAGTGTAAACACTAAATACATTTTTTGGTTATCCTTCTGTACTTTGCTGTAACTGGTGGAGGTACCTGTTGTTCTTTCTCAAGTACAGATTTTGGATTTTTCAAAATTGATGAAGAAGTTTCTTCAGCTGGAGGAATCTGCATACATCAAAACAAGCAAAAATAATGCTGAAAAATAGGTTTGAACCTTCAGTCATAGAGTTATACAGTATGGAAACAGACCCTTTGGTCCAACTCATCCACACCAACCAGATATCCTAAACTGATCTAGTTCCATTTGCCAGCATTTGGCCCATATCCCTCTAAACCCTTCCTATTCATGGGGAAATACCTCTGTTTGTCTCTGCTTTGGCTGGTGCTGTTATGGATGTGTTGTGCCAGTCGATCTTGTGTCCTTCTTTGTCTGTGTGTATTAAGACCAGTGAGAATTGGTCATGTCTCTTGGTGGCTAGCTGGTGGTCATGTATCCTTATTGTCAGTTTTCTTCCAGTTTGGCCTATGTAATGTTTCTCACAGTCCTTGCATGGTATTTTGTATATTACATTAGTTTTATTGGTTGTGAGTATGAGATCCTTTGAGTTCATCAGTAGCTGTCGCAGACTGGTTGTTAGTTTGTGGGCTACGCTGATACCTTGGGGTCTGAGTCGTCTTGTGGTCATGTCTGATATGTCTCTGATGTACAGTAGGGTGACTAGTATGTCTGGCCGTGTTATATCTTCTTGTTGTGGTCTGTCGTGGAGGTAAGGTGGATAGTGATTTTTGATTGATGCCAATCACCCAAGCAAACGGAGACATATAAATAACATGCAGGACAGAACACCAACGCTTCACTGGAGGCACACTTATGATGTTACCTAGCAGGGTGATGAAATGTCTGTAATCAAACAGACCAGCTGAGCGAGCAAGTCTACAACATGCATATCCTCCACCCCCAATGCAGCAGTATGTACAATCTACAAGATTCATTGCAGTAACTCATCCAGATTTCTCCTCCATGACGTCTACCATCTGGAAAGACAAAGAGGCAGCTACAAGGAACACCATTATTTGTACACCATCCCAACTTGGAACTATATCATCTTCACTGTTTCTGGCTCAAAATCCTGGAACAGCCTTTCTAACAGCACTGCATATGTCATTACACCCCAAAGACTGCAACGGTTCAAGAAGGAAGCTTACTACCACCTTCTCTAGGTCAATCAGGGGTGGCAATAAATACTGGCCTCGCCAATGACATGCACATATAATGGACAAATTTTTAAAAAAATTAAAATCATATAATTACTGCTGCTTTGTAAATTTGACTGAAGAGATGATCTCTGATGTTGGGTTTAGCTCCATGAAAACTAATAAAATAACAAAAGGGAACAATGAAGAGGTGAGGCAGGGTACATGCATTACCAGACAAATGTTGGAAGAGTCAGATTTTATTACTTGCCTGGTCTCTAACTTGGAATGATGTATGTCTGGATGAATTCGATATTTGCTTCTGTGAAGGTTCCTTAAGCTCTTGAATTATTTTCTGTACAAAAGTTTTAAAGGTGGAAAATGTTATTCAGGAATCAAGATTTTTCATTTCCATATTATTCTTATCTCATGAATTAGTTACCAATAAATACGTCTTTGCAATAGGATCAGACAAACATCTACAAGGACAAAGGGTGGAGTCATACTGTCCTAGCTTCTGGTACAACAGTACAAATTAATTTCGATCAAGGACCTGATTTCCCAGCTACCGTTTCACAGAACTATCCAAGTAAGAGCCTTCTCCAAGCTCCCTGACCTATTGGGAAGGATAGTAGGATGATGTGACATTTGTCGGAGGAAGAATTCCCATTTAAAGTGACAATATTATGTTTCACAAAAGTTCAGGAGAACACGAATCTTTCAAACATCACTGCATCACCCCAGGAATAGAGAAGGCAGCTGACCCCATCCCTATTTGGATGTCTCACCCTCACCTGGAGATCAAATTGAGGGGCAGCAATGAAGTCAGCTGCCCCAAGGACAGTAAAGGAGGGAAATCTCACCAAATAAGTAGGTGTGGATGGAAATGGTCATGGAAGTGGTTTGCTGGCGGTGGGGATTTCCTTCAATCTGGAGACAGTGCACAAGAGCAGTGGCGCAATACTTTAGAGTGCCATTCCCACTCTGCTTTAGTCATCTCTTGACAGAACAGCCTCAAAGTACCACACATTGCAGGTCAACTCAGTTCTCTCTCCAAACAATGCCCATCTCACAACCAAAACACTCACTTGACCTTTAGCCTGTTGCCTGCGTGCACCCATGCAAGACGATCCACAAAAGGTCCTTTCCTCTTTAAACCCAAAACATTGCTAGCACTCTCACCTCAATGCTTTCGTGCCTTGTAGGAGAAAAGAAGACACAACTTGATGAGAGACAGAAGTAGGATAGCAGTGAGCTGTGTGTGTGCCACCAGTTGTACTATGTTAACCATTGAAAATGCATGCACACATGGTCCATTGGGAGGGACGTCTTGTCTCATTAAGATGTCAGCAATGAGCTGCTATGGGAACCTGAGACTTCTGAGGCATGAATATACAGGTATATCTAGAGAATTGGTCCCAAGTTAGGAAATCCAGCAAACATAATGGACTAAATGGTCTTTTTCTGCACTGTAGTAATTTTGCGATTAATTGATGAATGAAAAGGCTTGGGTGGGAAGTAAAGTACAGGAGTAAAACAGAGTGTGTCATATGCATAGCTGTCACATATAGCATTAAGTCTGTTTGTTTTGTTTAGTTTTTTAGAAACAAGAACATTTGTACTTTGTCACAAAATGTAGAACCCAGTGGTGTAATTTACTGATCACTAACAGAGGATTGTAATGACATATACCTATTGAACCCATCTGATTGAAAAATGTCAAGCAGCTAAATAAGAAGATTTCAGTTACATCTGATCTGTATTCGATAACTTGCTTGTTCCACATTCAAATACTGCATAAGGTACTCATCCATTCTCATGCCATCAGTCACAGCATTAGCTTGGCCCCACCTGGCGTACTGTAGTCAGACAGAATAGAATAGAATATCCTTTATTGTCACGTGTACTCAAGAACAGAAGTACAGGACTACAGTGAAAAGTTTACAATGTCGCCTCTTATGGTGCCATCTTAGGTACAAAGTACCTAGGTACAGATCTTAGTTACAAAAAGAGGAATTAGAAGAAAATAGCTGCACTACTTTACAGTGATTCATAGTATAAGTTAGAAATAAGACATAGTTAAAAGGATGGGGCTGGATGAACACCCAGCCCTGCACCTTGTTGTCTCGGAAAATCCAGCCCTGCACCTTGTTGTCTCGGATTCTCCAGTTCCTACTATCTCCCATAGTTAAAAGGATACTCACTACAGTCAAATAAACATTACATTGCAGTAGCACACTTCCACATGTGGTCTGACGGCCCGTGTCACACCCCAGTCCAACAACCAGCCCCGTCCCGCTCCAAGCCTCCAGTTTGCTCTGCTCTGGGGCTCGATTCCCCTGCACCAGGCTCCGCTCCGGGGATCGATTCCCCCGTACCAGCCTCCGCTGCGGGGATCGATTCCCCCGCACCAGCCTCCGCTCCGGGGATCGATTCCCCCGCACCAGCCTCCGCTCCGGGGATCGATTCCCCCGCACCAGCCTCCGCTCCGGGGATCGATTCCCCCGCACCAGGCTCCGGTCCGGGGCTCGATTCCCCCGCACCAGGCTCCGGTCCGGGGCTTTATTCCCCCGCACCAGCCTCCGCTCTATCAACTTGCCTCCAGGACTCGCCTGCGGCAGCCTCCGTTCCAGAGTTAGCTCCTCCATTTCAACCAGGTAGCTCAAAAGTTGGAAAAAAAATGCAGAAAAGAAGGAAAAAAAAGAGGATATGAAAGGTTTGATGAGAATGCAGAGAGGTTTATGAGAATGATTTCAGAGATGAGGAATTTCAGTTAGAAGGTCTGATTTGAGAGTGCAATCTGCAGAAAGTGGTGTTTGGTAATTTAGTAAGCATAAGATTTTCAGACTTAATCTCTTGCTTTAGAATCTAGGACTAATTGCTGCAAGGTATTTAACAAAAGCAGCTGTTTAGTTGGGTTTAATTCTAAAGGGTTGACAATTAAGACTCTGTTTGGACTGAGGAGACTAAAACTGAGGTAAAGTGACAATCTTTAAGATTAAGTAATTAGAAAAGTTAGCAAGTATGACTAAGTAAATTTAAATCATGGCGGGTGAGTCATCCAAGTGGAATGTGTGACCTGTCATATGAGTCAACTCATGAACCCTATCAGCATCCTAGATGAGCAGGAAGTGCTCCCAACTGCAGAAACTTGAGTTCCACGATTTGGAGTTTAAGCAGCGGTTAGAAACACACCTGTGAGGCTCAAAGTTATGTGTTATCACGTCTAGAAAGGTGAGGGCCTTTCTGACCGTGGTGGCAGGGAATCCTCAGCTGAGGAAAAAGGTGGACATGCCTGGGGCCCCCTGATACTGGGAAGCCCAGCCCTATTGACCTTGCAAAGTTCTCATGAACAACATCTGGAGGTTTGTGCCAAATTTGGGAGAGCTGCATCACAGACTGGTCATGCAACGACCTGACATTGTCTATTCTGTATGATTCTGAGCATATGACTATGTCACCATCAGCATCCCTGACTATACTCTCTCCCACCAGCAGGATAGACTGACTAGAGGTGGTGAGACAGCGGTTTACTGTCAGGATGGAGCTGACCTGGGAGCCCTGAATATTGCTGACCCTATGAAATCTCATAGTATCAGTTAAAATATGAACACAACTTGAAGGAAGCTCTGGGAATGACCTGACCAAGTTAGAGGTGCTAGACTGGACCTGCGTAAGTGGTTGGAGAACCAACAAGAGGGAAAAATCTACCTGATCTTGTCCTCACCAATAATCCTGTTGCTGATGTGTGCATCCAAGACAATATTGGTAAGAGTAACCACTTCATAGTCCTTGTGAAGACAAAGTCCCACCTTTATAGTGAGGATATGCACTATCACAATGTCAGGCACTATAACCAAGCTAGACAGGATATCTTTAGTCAGATCCAGTAAATCAAAACTTGCAGCCCACACGGTGCTACAAGCCATCATCAGCTACAGAAAGTAAACCCTTAGCCCAGCAGATCCCCACTCTATCAATATCACTAAGCTGTGAAATTAAGCCTGGATCAATGAAGAATACAAAAGGCAATAGCTAAAAAGGAGGTAATAGCAATAACTAAAACCATAGGACCATAAGACATAGGAGCTAAAGTAGGCCATAAAATGAGATCCTGGCTGATCTGATCATCCTCAACTCTATTTTCCATCCTTTTCCTCATAACCCTTGATTCAGTTACTGATTAGAAATCCATCTCACCAGTGAATATACTTAACAAGTCAGCCTCCTCAGCCCTATGCTGCAAATAATTTTACAAATTCACTATCCTCAGTAGAAATTTTTCCTCATCTCAGAAGCAGAGTCATATCGGACTCAAAATGTTACTCTGTTTCTCTCACCATTGATACTGCCGTATCTGTTGAACTTCTCCAGCACTGTCTGTTTTTAGGTCATTAAGTTCCCTAAGTTTGTTCCACCAGTCAACGAGATCATTGCTAATCTACAACCCATTTCGATTTATTTACCTTTGCCTGTATTCCTTCAAAATTTTGGATAACAAAAATCTCAGTCATAAAATTTACAATTGATGTAGGATCAAATGCCATTTGAGGAAGTATTGAAACTTTTAGAATCTTTTTGATATAATTTTATTTCTCAAATGTCTGGCTCCATTTTTTAGATCTAGGCTCTTGGTTCTTGACTCCACAACAAGCAGTGATAGTTTTTCTCTATCAATCATATCACTTTCTCCTTAGTGTCTTGAAAATGTTGATGAAATCATCCCTTACGCTCCTAAATTATATACAGTTCTGGTCACCACACTACCAGAAGCAAGTGGATGCTTTGGAGAGGGTACAGAAAAGGCTTACAAGGATGTTGCCTGGTATGGGGGATCTTAGCTATGAAGAAAGGTTGGATAGACTGGGTTTGTTTTCATTGGAACTCAGGAGGTTGAGGGGCAACCTGATAGAAGTTTATAAGATTGTGAGTGGCATAGATAGAGTGGAAAGTGTGAGGCTTTTTCCCAGGGTTGAGGGGTCAGGTACTACGGGACAACAGATTCAAGGTGCGAGGTGGGGGGTGGGGGAGTTTAAAAGAGATGTGCGAGGCACGTTTTTCACACAAAGGGTGGTGAGTACCTGGAACATGCTGCCAGAGGAGGTGGTGGAAGCAGACACAATAGCAGCATTCAAGAAGGACCTGGACGAATACGTTATTAGGAAGGGAATAGTGGGATACGGGTGCTGTAAGTGAAGACAGTTTTAAATATGGATGGGCAAAATGTGTCAGCACAGGGCTGAAGGGCCTGTTCCTGTGCTGTATTGTTCTTTGTCGTAAATTCTAAACCCTAGTTTGTTAGTTTCAAACCTGAGCGTTCAGCTGCACTCCTTTTAAGGTCAAAATATTCTTCTTAAAGTATATTGCTCAGAATGGCTCACTACATTCTATGTGTTTTTTAAAGCAAGACTTAGTATTACATGAATTCTACCCCATTGTATTCAATTCTTAATACAAAAGTCAGCATTCTATTACATCTTTTGATTATTTACTGTTACTTTATGGTATTTTAATGATCTACGCACCAGCAAACCACTTTGGATCTCCACTGTTTCTAGTTTTTCATCATTTAAACGTACTCTGCTGTATCCTTTACAGACCCTAAATGATGATCTCACAATTGTCTACAGTGAACTCCATTTATCACAGTTATGCCCATTCATTTAACCTATCATTTGTAATTTCATGCTCATATGTACACTGCTTATAATGCCACAATCTTTTTTCCAACAGCAAATTTTGAACAGTGATTTTGCATCCCAGAGCTACAGGCTCATAGAGTAACTTTAATATAGAAGGAGCCAAATGGCCTATTGTTCTTTATACAGCAATGCAGTCAATCCTACTTTCTCTATTCCTGCATTCCTGCCTTTTCATTTCCCCCACATCCATCCAATTTTCAGTTGAAATCTTGAACAAAAACAGAAGTTGTTGGAAAAGTTCAGCAGGCCTGGGTCTGAGCCAGAGGCAGTCACCGAGGAATGTGATATGGCTGTGGAAACTAGCTTTAGCAAATACCTAGTCAAACACCAGTGAAATTAATGTCAGTGGACAAGAAGAAAGATTGGAACAGAAATCCTGTCGGAGAGAGGAGCAGAACTTCTTCAACGTGGGCATGCCTAGAAGAGATGTGGCAGTGAGTTAAATACTAAATAAAAACTGAAAGAACTATGGATGTTGTAAATCAGGAACAAAAACATAAGTTACTGGGAAAGCTCAGCAGGTCTGCCAGAACTTCTCCAGCAACTTCTGTTTTTATTCTTGATTTACAGCATCCACAGTTCTTTCAATTTTTATTTAATATTTAACTTACTGGCACATCTCTTTCTGGCATGCCCACCTTGAAGAAGTTTTGCTCCTGTCTCTGATAGGATTTCCATTCCAATCTTTTTTCTTGTCCACCGACTTTAATTTCACTGTCACTCCTGGTGTTTGACCAGGTATTTGCTAAAACTCATTTCCACAGCCATATCATATTCCTCAGTGACTGCCTCTGGCTCAGACCAGACCTGCTGAGCTTTTCCAGCAACTTCTGTTTTTGTTTCTGTTTTGCAGCATCTGCAGTTCTTTCATTTTTTTCGGCTGAAATCATGATCAGCTGTACTTCCACCAACCTCATTGACAGCAAGTATCCAAATCAGTACCACTCGTTAAGTAAAAGATTTTTTTTTCCCTTCACTCCTTGTGGAAATCTCTAAAATGTTAAACCTGTGCCCTCAGCCTTTGCGCCAAGAACAAATCGGAACAGGTCTCCTGTTTACCTTATCCAGATCAGTCAAAGTTTTACACTACAATAAAATCGCCCCTCAATGTGCTTTGCCACAAACATAAAATTTGCTAAATAAAACAAATTTAAAAATATTAAATTCCACCTATTATCTTGTGTAAGAGAAAGTTCTGCAAAATTTAAAATAAATAAACCTAATATAATAAAGCAGCACAGTGGCTCAGTGGTTAGCACCGCTGCCTCACAATGCCAGGAACCCGGGTTCAATTCCAGCCTTGGGTGACTGCTTGAGTGGAGCCTACACATCCTCCTGGTGTCTGCATGGGTTTCCACTGGGTAGTCTGGCAAGTCCAAAGATGTGCAGGTTAGGTGGATTGGCCATTCTAAATTTTCCATAGTGTCCAGGGATGTGCAGGCTAGTTGGATTATCCACGGTAAATACAGGACTACAGGGATAGGGTAGGGAGCTGGATTTGGGTGGTATTCTCTTTGGAGGGTTGGTGCAGACTCGATGGCTGAATGGCCTCTTTCTGCACTGTAGGGATCCAATAACGTTCAATGTACCAAACAAAAATTTATGATATAATCTGACCTCAATTGTATTGGTTTGTCATTTATTGTCAGCTATTTAATGTTTCTTTAATGACCCAATTGAAACCATCTCCAACCCACTTCCTCATTCTCCATTTGAGCCAAAGTATATATTTATAGTTGAGACAACAAGGTGCAGAGCTGGATGAACACAGCAGACCAAGCAGCATCATAAGAGCAGAAAGGCTGACGTTTCGGGCCTAGACCCTTC